CAAGTCCAGGTGACATTTCTGAGGTTCTAATTGCCACTGTGTGTCATACCCTCAGCTGGCTTTATTACTCCTGCTTCGCTAACCATCAAAGTTCTTCTTTACGGCTCTTTTCTATGTGAAACCACTGGACACCTCCCATAATCATGGTCCTCCCTAGCCCTTTCCCACCTGTTAAGCTCGCTCCCAATTTTACGTATTTCTTCTTTCTCTTGCTTCATGCTCAATTTAATACTGGCCTGGCATTTACACATCACTGATGGGAACATAACCTCTATGCTCCATGGGACAACATGGAAATATCTGCCATGTAGATATTATCTGCACACGTAGCCTTCGGCCCAGCGACTGCACCTCAGTATCCTCACACACATGCAAGCTCGTTCACAGAGGCATTTTCTGTGGTAATGAATGCTGGGCAACCACTTCCGTGTCCATCAAAAAAGGACAGGCCAAACAAATTCGGGTACAGTCAGATAATGAAATAATATGCAGATATAAATATAAATACATTTTTAGAAAAACATACTTGGTATGAAATAAACTCCCAGAGTGCCAAATTAGAAGGACTAGGGGCACCTGGGTGGCTCCGTCAGTTAAGCCTCTGCTTTCAGCTCAGGTCATGATCTCAGGGTCCTAGGATGGAGCCCCACATCGGGCTCCCTGCTCAGCAGGGAGCCTGCTTCTCCCTCTCCCTCTGCCTGCTGGTCCCCCCTGCTTCTGCTCTCTGTCAAATAAATAAATAAAATCTTAAAAAATAATAAATAAATTAGAAGGTCTAGAGTAGTGGGCATGTGTACAACAAGGGAGAGAATGTGCGTGTACATATGTATCTCCACATAAAATTTGCAAATTTGCTCATCGGTGCAGCACTCTGGGAGAAGACAATACAAACAAACGGATCACAGTGGTTCCCGACGGTGGGCTTGGGGGGCATGGAAGGGGACTTTCTGCTACATATACCTTTTTGAATACTTAATTTTTTAATTGCTGGAGTGTATATTTCCCATGCTAATAAAAATCACTAAATCAAAATAAATAAAAGCCCTACAATTCTCCTGCTCATGCCAGCTCTTCCCAGAGCAAATACCACCTTCTTAGCCCCTGCTCTGTACTCCAAGTCCATCCCTCTGGTTGCCCCAGCTCAGAAATCAGAATCCCTCCCTTCCAAGGTGCTAACGACAGGAAGGAAGAAGGACGACACCACCACCCATGCTGTAAGACATTCTGTTTTCTGCCAGAAATCCTAAAGACTCTTTCTGGTTCTCTTTATATTTGTGTATAGCTCTGGGCTGACTTGGCTTTCCAGGACCTGCTGGATCCCTGCTCCATTCTTTACAGGGTGCTCTGGTACTGCACACAGCCCTCCTGGATCCCACAGAGGGATCTAGCTGCAGGCCCCCCTGCATCTCCAGGGCTTGGGGGAAACCAGACTTCCTGCTCCAAGGAAGATGCCTCCTGAAGGACTTTCCTGTGATACAGTGTGGCACCCAGAGGGTTCCTTTTGCCTCTGGCTCTTTTATGTTCCATCCTCCCAATTGTGTTATTTACTTTCCATGGTAGCCATTCCTCAGCAGTCCTGCTTCTCAGGAGTAAACCTAACTGATTCAAGCCTGGGTCTCCTGAAACGACCCAGAATCACTGCAGAAGGCTCACGAGGAAAGGTAAACAGAAAACCCAGTTTTCACCCACATCTCACTGACAGACTCCTAAGCAAGGCCGGCTGCCAGGATGCTCTCAATCTGACAATAAACCTGCACCTCCAAAGTCCTCAGGTTTCTAGAATCACTTCCATCTAGAATCACTTCCATACCTTTCTAGAGGCAGCGGGATACAGGCTTCTGGAGGAACCAGAGCCAGACAGAAAGAAGCAGCCTGCAATGCTCTGGTTCACAGCATCCTTTTTCAATTTTCACTGAAACATAAAATGGAATCTGAGGATAAAGCCTGAACTATATGGAGGAGTTTTCAGATCCTGCTGCCCCAGAAAACAAAACAAAGAGAAAGGTCCTGCCTTTCCAAACCACAAGCCATGAGGCCTTGGGCTAAGTATATTCACTGGGAAAAAACCAGCAGCAGTGCGGGCTGGGAAGCAGCACTGCCCCTATTCATGTAAGTACAGCTTCTGGCGGACTTAGCTAAATGCCCCCTTCTAACGCGTCCTTCTAACACGTCCACGCGCATGACAACGGGCGACTATACTTCCCACTGCCCCGGGGTTTAAAGCCTCTGGGGCTCCAGGGAGTGCAAATCATGGCAGAGCCTTTGAGCATACCAGCAAGGATTATGTTCAATTCTAAGAAGGAGAAGTGCATTTCAAGTCATGTGGTTGTTCATGGAATATCACAGGTTGGAACAGCCTAAAAAAATTCCTCCACGTAGAAACCTAATGTTTGTACTAGCAACTGGGAAGGGCTGTTATCTGGCAGGACTGAGGCCAGAGGCTCAGGGTCTATGTTGTCTCAGGCATGAATAGCCCAGTGGAACACAAAAACAAAGAATTTGGATTGAAACATAATCCCTCAGAAAAGAAAAAAATAAAGCAAACAGCAAAATGACTGCTTGCTTTAGCTGTACTTGGCCCAGAAGTAGGAGCTCTCCTTCCACCCTGTCTTCCCCAGAAAGGAACTCAGCTGTCCCAGGTTGGTACTAACTCTGCCTTCTCTCCAAGATGGATTCACACCCACCCACATGCTCCCTACAGTTCAGAAGCAGGCATGTGACCCAAACTGGCCCGGTGAGATGCAATCTGGGGGCTTTTGCTGGACCTCTAAGAAAGAGACTCTCTCTCTGCACAGGTTGCTTGGCTGGCAGGACCTAGAGCTGCTGAGGGCCATCCTGAGACCTCCTGAGAATAAGGCTAAAGCAGAACCAAGCCATACACTACAGCTGATTTTTAATGGCACCCAGAGGTCACTTGGATCTAGTGGTATGGACTTTAAACCCTAGACATGTCAAGTTGTGTGACCTAATAACCCCCACCTTTACTTATTTTTTTAAATTTAAGTGGTTTTGAGTTATCTCTAACACTTTAAGACTTCTCAGAGTTTACTGAATTCTGCTGCCAGAGCCTCAATGTATGTTCACATGTAATCACACAACTTGAAACATTGGTTAAAAAGCAAAAACAACAACAACAACAACAATAACAATAACAAAACAACAACAGGGACGCCTGGGTGGCTCAGTTGGTTAAGCAGCTGCCTTCGGCTCGGGTCATGATCCCGGCGTCCTGGGATCGAGTCCCACATCGGGCTCCTTGCTCATCGGGGAGCCTGCTTCTCTCTCTGCCTCTGCCTGCCATTCTGTCTGCCTGTGCTTGCTCTCTCTCCCTCTCTCTCTCTCTGACAAATAAATAAATAAAATCTTTAAAAAAAAAACAAAACAACAACAAAAACAAAAACCCTCTAAACCTGGAGAAAATTCAGTTTCCTTCTTTCCTTTTCTTACATTTAAGAAGCAAAGTCTATTCAACTAACACTTCACCCAGATAAGCTTTCAATCTGTGTGACTTTGCAGTTTTTCAATATACCTCAATCTATACCGCCATCCACAGCATGCGTAATGACAATTGGTAAGTAATAGATAAAAGCTCTATGTTACTGTGGCCAGCACTATGCTAAGGACTACACACCCAAGGTCTTGTTCCCTCCTCAGAATCAGCCAGGAAATCCCAAGCGTTACTCTCTCCATTTCACAGAGGAAAAGCAGAGGTTACATGACTTGCCTAAGATCTCAAAAGCTACAGTTGGAAGATCTGATTGGAGGGCCTGTACCCTTAAGCACTAGAAGACACTGTCTTCAGTGTAATGGAGAGTTCTTCCTTTGGCAACACTATGTACCAATGAGCAACTTCTCAAAGCAATGCATAGAACTGCCCACATATTACAAGTATCTCTATCACCAGTGTTTACCCAGTAAACACAGCAATAGGGCAGGTTTCAGTGTACACAATGGTGGTACTTAATAGAAAGGAACAAGATCAATTTTTAGATTTTGGAGATTCCTAAATTGTGTGTGTGTGTGTGTGTGTGTGTGTGCGTGCGCGCGCGCGCACGCATGCGCGTGCACATGTGCATGTGTATGAAGATAGACCAAATGCCTATATCATGCCAGATACTATGACAGGGACTTAACTTTTGTGATTTGATCTGGACTTCCCATAGTTACCCATTGTACAGGTAAAGAAATTGAAGTTCAGAGAAATTAAGCAGCTAGCTTGCAGAATGAAATTCAAAGACCTACTAAGCAGGCAGGTCAGTAATTGAACAAAGGTGCTTCTAAATCTAAAGCCTATCTTCTTTCCACATCTTACATTGCCGGGTACAAAGAGAGGAACTTAGAGGTACAGGTACATGGAAGGTGATTATCTAAGGTTAAAACAGGATATTCTCTCTCAACAGAAGCAGCTCTGAGCCTAGAATTTATCCAAGACATTCATCCCAAAAAGGAGTCTGGCATGCACTGGCCAATGGCATTATGGAGCCTGAAACAAAAACGGGAACAATGCAGGAAAACATTGCATGGGCTCGTTCCTATGACCTATTAGGAGAAAAGAAGCACATAATCTAAGGATTCCACCTGGGTCTGTGAAATGTGCTCCTCTGATATGGGGATAGTGGCCTACTGGGCAGCAGACTTCATCCCAGTACATGGTCATTACCTTGGCTCTCACAGAGGACATCTTGGGTCCCTTCACATCTCGTCTGATCCTTCCCCACCTACTGCTTTCCCTTCCATCCTTGTCAGCAGCTTGAGGGAGGATAAAGCCTTAGAGCCAAAACTGGGTGGTTTGGGCACTGCTGAAATTTGCAGCCACAGCAAAACCTGATAACTTGGTATTAACAGATCATTGCGTCTCTTGTGCATAGACACTTCTGGCTGCCAGACTTGGGGTTGACCAGATGGCCTGAGTCCACATTAGACCAGCTTCCCCTGCTCTGAGTTTAGAACAGTACATATCCCACCCCCCCGCCCCCCAGAATTTGGTATATCACACTCACCTCTGCTTTTCTCTGCTTCTCCTCCTGCTCTCTCTGCTCCTTCTCCATGCCAACCAGCTTGAGCTTCAGCTCAGAAACTTCAGTCATCAGATCGAGCTTCTGGGTCTCAAGAGATGTGCGGCTTAGCAGCTCCTATAAGCAAAACCAGATCTCAAAATCACAGCCTCCCTGGCAACAAGGCAACTGTAGCTCCATCCAGAGTGCAGAAGGCAATCTCTAAGTTATATGTTGGACAACAGAGTTGAGACTGCTACATGGGAGCCACAGGTCTAGTAGGGACGGACCTGCGCTGCTCCTGGGTCATTCAGGGAGAGCACAGCCCCTCCCACTACCCATTGTGCTCTGAGAAACGATATGGACTATAGCACTCAAAAAAACGTTTGCCTCTAGAAACCATTATTTCCAAGTACAGAAAAATGGACAGGTTTGCTTAAAAAAAAAAACCTCATTTTCTCTATCTCCATTTTTACAGCAAACCAACAGGTCCTCTCAACCTAAACGAAAAAACAAACAAAATCAAGCTTACATCAACAATATATTTTTCAAAATCAAGGATTCCAAATCATCTCCTGGGCTCAATGTTTAGCCTACAACCTGAACAAATTTCAGTGTAAGAGTTCATACAATGAGCCTAGGAGGGAGCTAGAGCATACAGCAGATACTCGATGAGTATTTAGTGAATGATTAGAATCTTATGTATGTGATATGGATTTTTCCTAGCCTATGTGGTATGGAGCTTTCTGAGCCACTAAGGGATTAAGTAGGAATCCTTCCCTTTTGTAAGGCCGGGCTAGAGGAGGTTTTAAGACCTGCCATCACCGGAACAGTAGTAGACAAAAGCCTGCCATCAATACATACACGTAATAAGCATAAATAAGACAAAAAACAAAGGTGATAGACAAAATGCCTGCTGGGAACTACTAGGGATTATGTAGACCCTCAAAAACCGTGAGCATTCCTAAAGTCCGGGGCAACACTTCTCCACTGGCAAAAGGCAATGGTCCATAAGCCCCCAAATCTGGGCACGCGGTAGATACTGGATACACAGTTCCCAGCAAAGAGATTACAATAGGGTGATTCGGAGACTAACCAGCCAAATGAGCAACCAGAACAGATACACTATCTGGTCAAAGGGTGAACATTTTATGTTGTCTTGGGCAACCCAACCTTAGTACCAGAAGGGTGATCTACAGCTATGATTTCACATATTCTGAACTGTCCTCAGACCACAAACCAAATCACACAGGACAGAGATTTAACTGGGAATACAGGATTCCCTAGGCAAAGGCCCTCAGGGTCTCAGAAAGCCAAACTACAAACTATCTCTATCTACTAATCTGAGGGGATGAGTATCAAGAAATTCAGCAAAATGAGCTCACTGAGCACAGGGCAGAAGAGGCCAGCTCTTTCTGTTTCAGCTCAACTTGAAGCCAGTGTACAGGGCAGAGGCAGCAACACTCAGTGCCTGAACTACAGGCTACTGGGTCACAAGGAGTCTGCCAGACAAATGTGGGTAACGCTGGAGGGGGAAGGAGAGAAGACACACAGATTCAGTGAGTGCCTCCTCTGTGCCGGAACCCCCCGGGTACTTTGCATACATGCTCTCAATAAACCTTCCTAGTGATGGGACAGTAAATATTATCCTAATTTAACAGATGAGCAACCAGGCTCAGACACTGGCCTGTCTTGGCCGAAGACACATGCCACTCAAAAACAGCAGAGTCCGTTTTCAAACCAAAGTCTGCTGGACTCCAAAACTCATTTCTGTCTAACGTATCACATTGTCTCCCAAACAAAGGAAGAAGTCCAAGAATTTTAAGGGAAGTAACAATATACATGCTGAAAAAAGCCAATCAACAAATACTCAGTCAAGGAAACTGCCACTCAAATTGTCAAGATTTTTAAATATTTTTTGTTTACTTGAGAGAGCAAGCAAGCACAAGTGTGGTGAGCAGTAGAGAGTAGACGCCTGATGAGCAAGGAGCCCCATGCGGGGCTTGAATCCAGGACCTTGGGATCATGACCTAAACTGAAGGCAGACACTTAACCGACTGAGCCACCCGGGCGCACCTCAAATTGCCAAGATTTGGTCACGCGCACACTTTATACCAGGGCCTGGTACTAAGACTATCTTAAGATGCAATCTCCCCGATGCCACCTACTCACTCCTACCTCCCCCTTACTCCTCTCCCTTCCCCTCGGTCTCCACCATCTCATTGTGTGTTTCTCTCCCCATCCTTTCATATACCTGCTTTGTTCCAAAAATGATTTGAGACTGTTTGAAAAATGGACAATTTGAGTTAAAATGTAAAATCATAGAATTAAGGCAGGTAGGAAAAGAAGTTAAAGCTGGAGCCATCATTGGTAAAAAAAAAAAAAACAACACCTACCCTAAAGTTCTGTGGACTCCTAGAGGTGGACTATACTGCCTATATGAGCTTTTCAGCCACCGAGGCGAAGAGACGAGCAACTCTACAAATCAGGGTCCATGAGACAACTGCTTTGGAGCACCGACAACTGAGAAAATATTCTTCCATGAGACTTTAATCATTTACTCAACAAATATGTTTTTAAATATCTACCAGATGTCAAGGCCTAGTGATACGACCATTAAACACAAAGCCCACTGAGTGCTTAAGTATCGTAAGCTGCAGTCTGTCTACTAACTAGCATTCATGGCGCTGAATCTACTCTATTTCTACTCTTGCCAGAATCCCTCTAGCCGTTTTAATTGGTCACACCAATGTTCCAGCTGATGAAGATAATATCCTAACTGGTCGTCCTAAAGTTCCAATTGGTCATGTCGGGGTTCCAATTCGTCACACTAACATTCCACGTGCACATTCCAGTTATTAGCGATTATGCTCAAGTCTATCTGTTAGCATATGCCTCTACCTTTCATTACCGTCACCCCTCATCCTGGTCATCAGTAAGTACTATCCTACTTCCTGAATTCAAAACCGGCCTTGGACAAGCTCATCCCAGTCCAGATCCACCTCCCATCTCCAGGATCACATGGCCTCCAGGGACTAGTACATGCTAATACTCTATCATATGTGTCCTAAGAGGGTTTAACTACCCTATAATCTCAACTGTTCTTTCTCCCTCCAGCATAAACTGAATCCTGACTTTGACATCCTATGCCCTAACCTTCCCAGTCATCTCAAGCTCAGTCCACTCCACTCCAACAAACCAACTTACTGGACAATTTCTCCCTGTTTCTAGACCACTACTGTCCTTACTGACCATCTACACCTGCCCTCCTCTTCTAAGGCAGCACCATTCGGTTATAGCAACTTCCCCCAGACATCCAGAACCCAAGACAGTCTCCCATTTTCCTCAGGGCTTTTGTGTTTTTTGATCAACAGTTTCTCTACCTAGTTTGGGCACATTCCATTTCCTCTGTAACTTCAACATCCTTGTTCCTTTCTTGTGAGTCTTCCCATATCCACTCTGGCTTCAGCTTTCTTGACTGCAATGCCAATGGGCTTTGCTTCTGCTTTGCCTCCGTTTCTCACTGGGATTATCACAACTTGGCCCTCGCCCTTGTCTAGAACGCATTTGTTCTGCTTCTAAAATCTTCAGCTCTGAAATGGTCTCTTTCAGCCACAATCTACTGACCTTTAAATTTTCCCAATTAGTAACTCAAATAATCTTTAATTTCTTCTGTGGGCACTATTTTATCAACTTCCCTTAAATAATATTTGCCTCCTTATCCATTCCACAGCTTGAGGTCATTTCAACTGTATCACATCTGCACCAGAAAATTCCTCATCCAGCTCATCCCTGCCCCCAGGCCTGAAGTGCATTTGCTTTACCAGAGACCAGTCCATGCCAAACCTCAAAGTCTTTTGTCTATCTTTCTAGTCTCCATGGCCTGAAAACTGCTGCTAAATGACACTTAATGATGCCAGCTGGTTTCCATACAAAGTTATGCTATCTAATGATAGCTGATCTTCCAAGACCACCTGGCACCCTTGCATTTGTCTCTGGTTGGTTCGTCCAAATCTTTCCCATTCTCCTCCAGCCACAAATCCCACTGTTTCTCCCTCTTCTCAAATAACCTCTCCTGTTTAGTGAAAAGATATTTAAAAATAATCTGATCATTCGTTGAATTTATATCCTTTCTATTTCAAAGTTTCCCAGAAACATCTCTTATTCAAATCTCTTAAATCCACACTTAGAGCTAGCAAGCCCATGTTTCATGTTGAGTTCTTTCACTTTTAAGAACCACTCTGAAGCCCAGTAAGTTTCCAGGTTGCACATAAAAAGCATGTTCAAGGACACAATGATTCTGGAGTTTGCCCTGGAATTGCCCCATCTCACCCACCTTCCTGTTGCTGACTATCTCTTGTTCTCCAGACTTCATGCCATCTCCACACAGCTTGATGTCCAAGGCTTTCAAGTTACCTCCCTGGTCAGTCATTAGTGTTTGGCTGTGATCTCAGAGTCCTGGTCCGGTTTCTCCCTCTGAAGGATGCCTACTCACCTGGTCCTATGCTCTCCCTCACCTCTGTCCTGCCTGTGAGGAAGTTCCCACCCAGTCTGTGCTACACTAGGGTAGGACTATTAATCATCCACTCTGACAGGCATTTAATCTCTTTCACCATCAGCTCCCATTCCTCAGGCTATAAGCATGATCAAATTTCTGACATTCAAAAGAACTTCCCCTCTTGACCTTGCCTTACCCTGAAGCAAACGCCATCAACTCCCTTCTGCTCTCGCTAGCCAAATGCATGCTCTCTGTGCACTGTTGGTATGAATGTACTCTCTCTCCAATCCCTCCCTCACCCCTTCACAGCCAAGCTCTAAAAGAATAATCTACCCTTGCTGCCTCTTCTTCCTTACTTTCCCGTCATTTCTCCACAAGATGTCTGCATTCCTGCAACCCAGCTTTTGCCTTCAGCAGGTAGCGCACAGAAACAGATCTGGTTTTGGGGACCAATGTCCAAACTTTCAGATACAACCTGTACTTCTCAGCTTTCAACCGTTGATTCTTCACCCACTTAACAGTCTAAGATACTACCTTCCCTCTCATCCTTCCAGTATTCCTGATCTTTCTTTTTCTCTTCCGTCTTTTTCTCTTCCGTCTCCTTTCTTTTTCTCTTCCGTCCTCCTTTGCTAGCTGCTTT